CCATTAAATCTGACTGATTTTAACCATCTACACTTAGAGTTGCGCTGCTGTCTCTCTCCTCTCTGAATACAAATGCACGCCACATTTTTCAGATATTTGTAAACATTCCGAAAACCATTTATCATTTTCCTGCCACTTCACAATTATGCGCTACTTTGTGTTGGTCTATCACATAAAAGTCCAATAAAATACATTTATGTTTTTGGCTGTAACATGACAAAATGTGGAACATTTCAAGGGGTATGAATACTTTTTCAAGGCACTGTATGGAAAGAGCACCATACCAAAAAGATAAGAGTCCAAATTAATTTATTCATGTTACATTAAAGACAGCCAACACGTTTCAGGGGACAAAGGAACTCCCCATTCATCAGGGCTTCAGTTAAAAATGAGAACCTTGAATGGACTCAAAGAAAGGCTTTCCTGTTTGAATCTGTGCAGGGGAGCGGATTGCTGGTGTAGGATCCCTAACCAGCAGCGTCTGCATCAGCCATCAAAATAATGGTCAACCTTTTCCTGTCACTGGCACTTGCTGGCAGGAGAAAAATGCCCATTTTCTAACTGGCTGCCAATAAAAATATCAACGGTTCGCAACACTGCCTGGACATGAGGAAAAGACGGCTGACGATAATACTGTAGAATGCACAGGAGAGCACTAGATTTCTGCCAGGATCAAAAGGTATTATTTTGCATTTATTAAACAGATAGTACACTCTTGATAGGGAGCAAACCCTTTGGCGCTATAATATATATATATATATATATATATACACACACACATACACATATATATATATATATATATACACACATACATACATATATATATATATATATATATATATATATATATTATATATATATATATATATATATATATATATATATATATACATACATACATACATACATACATACATACATACATATATATATATATATATATATACATACATATACACACACACACACACACATATATATACACATACATACACACACAAACACACATATATATACACACACACACACACACATACACACATATATATACACATACAACGTCAGAAGCGTCTTACCTGGGCTAAAGAAAAACAGACCTGGTCTGTTGCTCAGTGGTTCAAAGTCCTCTTTTCTGATGAGAGCAACTTTTGCATCTCATTTGGAAACCAAGGACCCAGAGTATGGAGGAAGAATGGAGAGGCACACACTACAAGATGCTTGAAGTCCAGTGTGAAGTTTCCACAGTCTGTGTTGATTTGGGGAGCCATGTCATCTGCTGGTGTTGGTCCACTGTGCTTCATTAAGTCCAGGGTCAACGCAACAATCTACCAGGAGATTTTGGAGCACTTCATGCTTCCTTCCGCAGACGAGCTTTATGGGGATGCTGACTTCATTTTCCAGCTGGACTTGGCACCTGAACTTTTGCACGATATTCTAATTTTTCAAGTTTCACACACACACACAGTAAATGAGAAGTTCATTCTTGAGGTTTATTTACACTTTAAAGATTCAAATAGATGGCTATGGCAATGTTTCCACACAGCTGGGTCACAGCTGACTGCAAGCAAGTCTGACGTGAAGCATATTTTGAAACATATTAATGCATCTGTGGTGCAGAAGATGCATGCAAATGGATCATCTTAAAAGAGGAGCCATTGCCAATTTACTTTTCTTGTTCTGAATAGGTCAAGAAAGGTTGGACCCTCTGTCACATTTTGATTGCCATCTGCAACTCCCTGCGGGAGTTCAACCTTTTCCTGAGGATTGCTGGCATTAGAACAGGAATAAAAAAGAAGGGGGATGTTTTCAATGCAGACACCCTGTCCATTAACTACGGTCAACAAAGGAAATTCACCTTAAGATTTCTGGTCAATTACTGTATTTCTAGAGCAGAAGGCGGGAAAACTATTTTCCCAAGTTGAAGACGGAGGGCATAAAAAAATAAAAAAAAAAAAAAAAAAAAAGGGAGAAAGGAAGGAAGGAAGAAGAGAGGAGAAAGGAAGGAAGGAAGGAAGAAGAGAGGAGAAAGGAAGGAAGGAAGGAAGGAAGGAAGAAGAAAGGAGAAAGGAAGGAAGGAAGGAAGGAAGAAGAGAGAGGAGAAAGGAAGGAAGGAAGGAAGGAAGGAAGAAAGAAGAGAGGAGAAAGGAAGGAAGGAAGGAAGAAGAGAGGAGAAAGGAAGGAAGGAAGGAAGAAGAGAGGAGAGGAAGGAAGGAAGGAAGAAGAAGAGAGGAGAAAGGAAGGAAGGAAGGAAGAAGAGAGGAGAAAGGCAGGAAGGAAGGAAGGAAGAAGAGAGGAGAAAGGCAGGAAGGAAGGAAGGAAGAAGAGAGGAGAAAGGCAGGAAGGAAGAAGAGAGAAGAAAGGCAGGAAGGAGAAGAGAGAAGAAAGGCAGGAAGGAAGAAGAGAGAAGAAAGCAGGCAGGAAGGAAGAAGAGAGAAGAAAGGCAGGAAGGAAGAAGAGAGAAGAAAGGAAGGAAGAAAGAAGAGAGAAGAAAGGAAGGAAGAAAGAAGAGAGAAGAAAGGAAGGAAGGAAGAAGAGAGAAGAAAGGAAGGAAGAAAGAAGAGAGAAGAAAGGAAGGAAGAAAGAAGAAAGGAAGGAAGAAAGAAGAGAGAAGAAAGGAAGGAAGAAAGAAGAGAGAAGAAAGGAAGGAAGAAAGAAGAGAGAAGAAAGGAAGGAAGGAAGGAAGGAAGGAAGAAGAGAAAAGAAAGGAAGGAAGGAAGGAAGAAGAGAGAAGAAAGGAAGGAAGGAAGAAGAGAGAAGAAAGGAAGGAAGGAAGGAAGAAGAGAAGAAAGGAAGGAAGGAAAGAAGGAGGAAGAAAGGAAGAAAGGAGGAAGGAAGAGCCCAAGCATTTTTGCAGACAAAAATAGTCGGCTGGAATTACACTTAATAAATAAATCTTGCTTCCACACCTAGAAAACTGCCTTTTCTCTAATCACTTAAGCAGGGTATAGATGGATGGAATATATTACTTAGATGTTCAGTGTGTCTGGGCTTTTAATCAAATTAGTAAGTCAATGATATCTGTTGGTATTAAATTCTTCTTGAGTAATCAAATATACAACCTCCATATACACTGCTCAAAAAAATTAAAGGAACACTTTTTAATCAGAGTATAGCATCAAGTCAGTTAACTGACCAGATCAATATCCCAGGAGTTTAAGTAGCAGAGGCGGTTGTTAATCAGTTTCAGCTGCTTTAGTGTTCATGAAATGAACATGTGCACTAGATGGGCAACAATAAGACGACCCCCATAACAGGAACGGTTTATAGGTGGAGGCCACTGACTTTTTTCCCTACTCATCTTATCTGACTGTTTTCACTAGTTTTGCATTTGGCTAGGGTCAGTGTCACTACTGGTAGCATGAGGCGATACCTGGACACTACAGAGGTTGCAGACAGTCCACCTCCTCCAGGATGGTACATCAATACATGCCATTGCCAGAAGGTTTGCTGTGTCTCCCAGCACAGTCTCAAGAGCATGGAGGAGATTCCAGGAGACAGGAAGTTACTCTAGGAGAGCTGGACAGGGCTGTAGAAGGTCATTAACCCATCAGCAGGACTGGTATCTGCTCCTTTGTACAAGGAGAAACAGGATGAGCACTGCCAGAGCCCTACAATATGGTAAAAACATGTTTTAGCTATGGGGTTTTACCACTCCCCAAACTGCAACTGTAAATGAACCCTTACTGCTCTGATCCCCCTATAAGGCTGCTTTCACACTGATGTGCTGTGGTATACCTGCACTACGGGTGCAGTGCATCAACGACTTTCCTGGGTTAGCTGCACTTTGCCATAGACTTCTATTATATCCTGCAGGTGTGGTACACTTTCTGAAAGTACACCAAACCTCCTGCATTCAGAAGGTGCACCAAACCAGCAGGATATAATAGAAGTCTATGGCTAAGTGCAGGAAAGCTGCGGGTACACTGCACTGCATCCGCGGTGTTGGTAAATCGCAGCTCATCAGTGTGAAAGCAGTCCTATACTATAATGCCCTGTGTATTGATTCACACTGACCGAAGAGCTCTTCTTCCCTGCTGCTGCCGCCACTCCGGAGGCCATTAGCCGGGATAATAGATGACACGTAGTTGGTATCACTCCGCGTGGGACAGGAGCCGGCACTACAGAGGAGGAGTCAGCTTACGCAGCGCTTACTTCCTACTACATCTCCAACGTCACAAGTAGTCCCCTTGCACTGCACTCTGATGCTGTGGGATGGCGGGTCAGCAATTCCAGACCACGATCTACCAGTCACCTGATCACAATCTACGTGTTGCTGACCCCCGATCTAGGATTATCTCACCACAGAAGTGCTCACTCTCAGATGTCACAAACGCTAATAGAATTTTATTTGAAAATTTTAGTTTAAAAAAACAAAAAAGGCATTTTTTTAATCGTTACTGGGGTCAAAATGTTCCTTTTCAACCACAGAAAATCCGAAAGGGCAGGATGGAAACTTATTCTGAAACACATTTTTTTTTAAAAAGTGAATAGCAGTTTTGTTTTGAGAAATTACTTTTATTCCAAAAAAAAAAAAAAATAACAATTTGTTAAAACCCAACTTTCAAATGACATTCAACAAGTCACTGGAGGAACTTTTGAAACCATTTTAAACAATTATTCATATGAATGTTTGTTCAAAAATCTACTGCGTGTATGGCTAGCTTAAAATGTCCCTATATCCCAGACCCTGCATTCACTATATCTGCTCTCCCACAGTGCACACAAAATAGAAATGCTAAAGACCTTTTCTCATCAGCAGTTAGAGCAGTCTTGTGATTTCAGCAGAGCACTGGTTGAAGCTTGTAGAAGGAGTTTTCTTTCTGATCTAGGAGGATGCAGAACCCCTGACCTCTGTCTGGACAGTGCTGATTGGCCCCTTTTCTGATCACATGCACTCTCCCAAGAAAAAAAACCTCTTTAGCAATACACACTAAACTGAGAATGTGAAGGATTGGCTACGGTTCAGTCTGTCTTATCAGAGGATAAGATGTGGACATTTGAACAAGAGGAGGAGCAGAGAAGTCAGGATTAAACAGCCATTTTACACAATGCAGAGGATTAACCCCTTAGGTTCCACAGTGAGTATACCAAGCATGCTTTACTGCATATACAGACTGATTTTACGGTTGTGGGTTTAGTAACACTTTAAAGCGGACTTACGCTGCATCTGAGCATCAAAAAAGCTATTTAACCACTTGCCCTCCAGAGGATTTACCCCCCTTAACCACTTCCTGACCGGCCGTTGTATATAAACGGCCGGACGGTGGCACTGCAGGGTCGGGTGGCCATCTATAAACGGCCTCCCCGCACCCTGCTTGTGCGCGCTCCCTGGGAGCGCGCAGCACCGCGATCCGGTGCCCGCTGTGTCCTCCGGACACAGTGAAACACCGATCGTCGGACGGGACCTCTGTACGAGGTCCCGATCATGTGATCACTGATTGGCCAATCAGTGATCACATGCAAAGTAGTAAGCAAGATGTCACTTCTGACATCATTGCTTACTATGTGTGAAATCTGTGAATGATCACAGAGGTCACATGGTACAAGGCTATTCACAAAAGCCTTGTACCATGTGACAAGCTGTGACCAATCACAGCTCACTCAGTTCTTCTCAATGAGTGCAAGAATGCACACAGAGAGAAAGAGAAATGATTGCTTTTACATCCTATATGGGTGTAAAAGCAATCAGTGTGTAAAAAAAAAAAAAAAAAAATCTTTATCACCCCTCACAAGTAGTACAGTGTCACCATGGTGACACTGTACTGCTAGGGTGACAGTATGTAAAAAAAAAATAAAAAAAAAAAAAAAAAATAAATAAAAATGTAAAAAAAAGTGTTTAAAAATTATAATTTTTGCTTATAAACTAATTTGGATTTTTTTTTTTTTACTAAAAACATAACGGAATAAATTTTGGCTAAGATTTATGATGAAATATTATTTATTTGCAAAATTTTATTAAAAAAACACTTTTTTAAAAAATTTGTGGACATTTCATTTACATAGCAAAAAAAATACAAATCCCAGTGGTGAATAAATACCACCACAATAAAGCTTTATCTGTCTAAAAAATATGGTAAAAAATTCATTTGGGCACAGTGTTGCATGACCGCGCAATTGTCATTCAAAGTGTGATAGCGCTAAAAGCTGAAAATTGCCCAGGTCAGGAAGGGGGTAAAAGTGTCCGGTCTGGAAGTGGTTAATGACCAGGCCTCTTTTTGCTACTCGGCGCTGCACTAATTCCACTGATACTTGCGCAGTCATGCAATGCTGCACCCAAACAAAATTTATGTCCTTTTTTTCACACAAATAGAGCTTTCTTTCGGTGGTATTTGATCCCCTGTGCGCTTTTTATTTTCCAAGCTATAAACAAAAAAAGGCCAAAAATTTTGAAGAAAAACAATATTTTTTACTTTCAGCTATAAAAAATATATAGTAAACTCAAAGTTGGTTATAAATTTAGGCCAAAATGTATTCTGCTCCATGTTTTTGGTAAAAAAAATCCCAATAAGTGTATATTGATTGCTTTGTGTGGAAGTTATAGCGTCTACAAACTATGGTATAAATACTGCAATTCACGCCATTTTTTTGCTATACAGCGTTGCGTAGTTTAACGGACAATTGCGCGGTCATACAATACGGTACATAAATGAAATTTACATCCTTTTTTTCCCCCACAAATTGAGCTTTCTTTCGGTGGTATTTGATTGCCTGTGCGGTTTTTTTATTTTTTGCGCTATAAAAAAAGGCTGACAATTTTGAGGGAAAAAAAAACAATATTTTGGACTTTTTGCTATAAAACATGTCCAGTAAAAAAAAAAAAAAAAAAATTAAAAATCAAATTTAGTCAAATTTCTGCGAAAATGCATTCTGCGGCATCTTTGCTAAAAAAAAAACCCAATACGTGTAAATTAATTGGTTTACGTGAAAGTTATAGCATTTACAAATGGCGGGAAAGATACTGGGATTTTTAGTTTTTTTTATACTAATAATGGCGGCGATCAGCGACTTATGGCAGGACTGCGGCAGACATTCTGGCATTGGGGGGTACTAACGTGGGGTCACTGACTTTCCCAGTGACACCAATACAGTGATCAGTGCAAAAAAAAAAAAAACACTGACACTGTACTAATGGCACTGGGGAGGAAGGGGTTAAGTTTATTTTTCAGGGAAAGGGTTAACTGTGTGAGGGGGAGTGTTTTACTAGGGGGTGGGGGTGTGTACTGCAGTAAACGCCGCTGATCGGGAGAGAGAAACTCCTCTGTCCCGATCAGCGTGTCCTGGAGCTGTCAGGGAACTGACAGAAAGCATAGCTGCTGCAGCCCTGCTCTCTGTCAGCGATTGCCGCCGATCACCGGGACATAGCCGGTAACGACTGGCTGTGACCCGGCGACTGACATCCGTGGCTGTGATCGGCGGGACAGGTAGGGTGGCAGCGCGCCCCCTACCTGTTTTAAAAACACACGTTTTAAAACGTGGTTTTGCCCAGCCGTACCGCCCTGCCGCCGTATTTCTACAGTGGCTGGGGGGGCATGTGGTTAATTCATTTTTTTTCCAAAGCAAACTCCCCCATCCATCTCTATGCCATGATTTAGTTTGCTGAGAAATCACTTTGAACCACCCCACTAGCATTTCTGGCCCTTGCCATCTTAAAGTGTTACTAACCACACAACAGTAAAATCAGTCTGTATATGCAGTAAAGCATGTTTGTTACAATCACTGTGGAACCTAAGGGGTTAATCCCTTGTATTGTGCAAAAAGGTTGTTTGAGCCTGTCTTCTCTGCCCCTCTTGTTGAAATGACCACCCGATATAGACTGAACCCGTGGTCACATGCACATGCTCAGTTTGGTGTGTATTGCTAGAGAGGTTTTTTTTTTCTTAGGAGGGTGCATGTTATCAGCGCAGGGCACATCAGCACTGTCCAGACAGAGGGCTTCACATCCTCCAAGAGCAGAAAGAAAACTCCTCCTACAAGCTTTAACCAGTGCTCTGCTGAAGTCACAAGACTGCTCTAACTGCTGATGAGAAAAAGGTATTTAGCAGTTTATATTTACTAAAATAATTGCAATTCCATGCATCTGGGAGACCAAATATAGTGAATGCAGGGTGCTGGTTTAGTAACACCAAGTGCAAAAGATTCATTTTAGCATTTAATTCCTAGAATCCATCTGCCCTTAGCTCAGGCATGCAGACAGGAGGGTGTGCGTAGCTGAGAAAGACCCCCCTGAAGACTTCTGCGATGTATGACATTTTCCTAGGCATGGAAACCAGACAGTGAAGTTATACTTTAAGAAAGGCAAGCCCTATAAAAAAGGAAAAAAATATTGGCCTTGCTTGTGCTAACAAAAGCAAAACCAAGCCCAAAGGACACTCAGGCCACGGGTGGACAAGACGGGTAAATATCAGGTGGGTGCTTTAGACATTCCAATACAGTCAAAATTCAAAGCTATAAGGGCATGGCCAACCAAATCATCTGACAAGAAAAAGATGTTAGAATAAAAGGCACAAAACAAGCTTCTTCTTTCTGCTGTTTGTAAAAAAAGAAAAAAAAAAGGAAAAACTCCAGAGAATGCAGCCAACCCTACCACCAAAAACCATACGATACTACAGAATTTTGATGTGGGTAGAAATTTCTTGGATGTGTTTGTAATATTCTCTTGCTGTCAGAAACACAACATGCTCCAATGTCTGCAGAAATCTGACTCACATCTCCTAACATCCGCTACCTGCCAGGGACCATTCGTTTGTTGTGGCACTAGCAAATGTTGACTGCAGTAGCTCCCGATTAAAGGAATTTCTATCTTGGCCTTTATTCTGAATAATTCAGCCGTTCCTTATTTTACCAAATCTCAGTAAATTTTATGATAAGCATTTTCCAATGAAGGCATGTCTGAAGATAACTGAAGATCAATAGCAGCTCAAACTACAAAGATCATCGATTTCCTGACAAAACCCAAACGCTCAGTTTACAAAGTATAGAGACATCAAATTACTTGGCAACTGTGCAAACTCAAAGGGTGGCCGCGGACTGGTGGATGTCTCACCAAGAACGGTCGAGGCTTCAAAGTGCTCCTAATGAAAGACCAGCCAACTATAGCCCATACCGACTGGCCAATTACAAGAAGTGATAAGCCCATGCCAAATCAATTAAATCCATGCACAGCCAGTGCTAATGCGGCCGATTTACTGATACAGAGCACAAGGAAGAGCAGTGCATCCCAATTCTTGTGTTATTGCCGGTCAGAGAATGACAGATGTGACTGGCTTAGGGCTCATGTACACTAGAGATTATAAACTGACGTTCAGGAGCTGTTGAGCGTTTATTTCAGCAACCCCTGGAATCTCCCTAATGTTTTCCTATGTGTCCATGTACACAGTCATTTACAGGCAGTTGAGTTTACAGTTGTTTTTTTGAATGCACCAAACTTGCGTTCAGGAGTAGATTTTACCGGCGTTTCAAAAACCTAACGCTTGTAAACGTGTTGTATAAGCGTTTGCGTTTAGAACCATTTTTTATCTGTTCAATGTCCAGATGCTTTCCAGAGCCTTTTTTCATCAGAAATGCATGGACCTAGTACACCAGCGCAGTCAATTCCAGGTTTCACGTGAAGGAAAAAAATGGTAGATGGGATCCATAGTGAATACAACCAGAAAAGACAGGTCATCTCAACACATAATGCTCTCTCTATTTCTCTCTAAATGTCTGAAATAGTTAATTATTTACTATTTTTCAGTGCATTCTGGGCATTTGGGAAGGTCTCCTGAGGTCATCTTTTAAAAACGCTCCTAAACGCGATATGTAAACGTGGCTAAACTGACATTTTTTAACCTACGTTTTCCAGAAGTCAGTTTCCATCGTTCAGAAGAGTTTTACCAAACGCCCCGTGTACATGGAGCCCTACGAACAACGGCCCTGATTTACCTAGCATTAAGGCTAGGTTCACACTAATGCGGTGCGGTACATCACATGTGATTCATACAGGAACCACACTACATTCCTGTGCAAATCACATGCGATTTGGGTGCGGTGCGATTGGAGCCATACATTTTGTATGACTATTTGCACTGCACCCAAAATGTGCAGGATATCGTATGTACTCTCCAGCGCCTCAGGATATGCACAGCCAAAAGGTAAGCCAAGGGTACCA